TAGGTGCATATCACTGTACCTGGATGAGTTTTTAAACTTTTTTGTATAGATGGGGTCTTACTATATTGTACAGGCTGGTCTTAAACGCCTGGCCTCAAGTGATCCTTCCACCTTGGCCTTTGTTCTTTATATATTCCACACACAAGTTCCTTATCATATTTATGACATAAATATTTTCTCCCATTTTGTGGATTCTCTTTTGTTACCTTGATTATCCTTGAAACACAAATTTTTTTATTTTGATGAAGTCCAGGATTTTTTGTTTTAGTCTTATACTTGTGGTGTCATAGCTAAGAAACCATTGCCTAATCCAAGGTCAGAAAGATTAAATTTATGTTTTCCTCTAAGAGTTTTATAGTTTTAGCACTTACATTTAGGCATTTGTTCTATTTTTAATTAATTTTTGTATATGCATGAGGTAGAGGTCCAACTTAATTATTTTGCATGTGGATATCCAGCTGTCCCAGCATCTTATATTGAAAAAACTGTTTTTTCCCCATTGAATTGTTTTGGCACCTTATTGAAAATTAATTGATCATAAGTGTGAAGATTTATTTCTGGATTCTTTTCCATTGATCTGTATGCCTGTCCTTGTGCCAGTATTCCACTGTCTTGATTACTGTAACTTTCTAATAAGGTTTGAAATCACAAAGTGTGAGTCCTCCAATTTTGTTCTTCGAGATGGTTTGGCTATTGTGAGTCCTTTGTATTTCCATATGACCTTTAGGATATCTTGCCAATTTCTGCAAAAAGGTAGCCAGGGATTTTGTTGAAACTTTTTTTTTTTTGAGTCAGTCTCACTCTGTCACCCAGGCTGGAGTGCAGTGGCACGGTTACAGTCACCGCAGCCTTGACCTGCTGGGCTCAGGCGATTCTTCTGCCTTAGTTTTCCAAGAAGCTGGAACCACAGGCATGCACCATCACGCCCAGCTGATTTTTTTATTTATTGTAGAGACAGGTCTCCCCATCTTGCCCAGGCTCGTCTCAAACCCAAGCTCAGGTAATCCTCTCACCTCCGCCTCCCAAAGTGCTGGTATTACAGGCATGAGCCATTGGCTGAAGCTTTCTTGTAGATCAGTTTGGTGGGGAGTACTGTCTTCTAAAATTGTCTTCTAACCCATTAACATGGAATGTCTTTCATTTATGAGATCTTTTTAAATTTCTTTCAATGATGTTTTGTTGGTTTCAGTGCATAGATTTTACATTTCTTATTTATGGTAAGTTTATTCCTAAGTATTGTATTCTCTTTATGTTTTTGTAAGTGGAATTGTTTCCTTAATTTCATTTTCAAATTGTTCACTGATGGTGTACAGAAATAAAACACTTTTGTATATTGATCTTGTATCCTGCAGCTTTGCTCCACTCATTTAATAACTTTAGTAGTCGCTGTGTTTTCCTTTGGATTTTCTATACACAAGATCATGTCATCTTCAAACAGAGATAGTCTTACTTTTTTCTTTCCAATTTGAATGCCCACTATTTCTTTTTCTTGGCAGTACAATGTTAAATATAAATGAAGAGAGAAGACAAGGTCTTTGTCTTATTCCTGATCTTTGGGTGAAAGCATTCAGTCTTCCACCATTAAGTATGATGTTAAGCCAAGCTCGGTGGCTCAGCCTGTAATCCCGCGCCTTTGGGAGGCTGAGGTGAGTGGACTGCCTGAACCCGCGGGTTCGAGACCTGCCTGGGCAACTTGGCGAGACCTCATCTCTACAGTAAATCAAAAAATTAGCTGGGCGTAGTAGCGTGCGCCTGTAGTTCCGGCTACTTGGAAGGCTGAGGCGGAAGGATCGCAGGAGCCCAGCAGGTCGAGGCTGCGGCGACAGAGTGAGACTCCAACTCAAAAAAAAAAGTATAGCCGGGCTCGGTGGCTCAGCCTGTAATCCCACGCCTTTGGGAGGCTGAGGTGAGCGGATTGCCTGAGCCCGCGGGTTCGAGACCCGCCTGGGCAGCGAGACCTCATCTCTACAATAAATCA